GAATAACAAGTGAAATATCCACTAAAGCAAAGCTTAAGTATATAACACCAACACAAGCATCATACTTTGATTTACCAAATCACAGAATATGGCATAGTATACGTCAATTGTTTCTTCATCTCTCATTTTGATCTCATCAAATTCAAGAGTTACCCATTGGAGTCTGGATGCTTTGACAGCCATTGAACCTTTGAATTGACGCTGTAGAACCCGCCAAGCATCTTTCGCAGTCTTACAATGAATTATCATCTTGTGTCTTGTTTGATCCACTGCCATCATAATCGCATACAAGGCACGATAGTTGGCTTCTTCATGAAGCTTCTCAGCATCTGTCCAATTGTCTTTAGGTTTTGGAACGGTGATTGTCGTAGCTCCTTTTGTAATATCCCGATATTTTATCGGTATAAATTCCGTTTTAATTCCGATATAATAACGTTATCGTTTATTATTGACGGAATTAATTATTTTCAGTCGGGATTACCGAAATTTAATTTCGACGTACCGTTTACGTTCGGAATAATTTTGGTAATTAAGTATTGTGTTTAATTGAATAATTAAACATAAACTAAGTGATTAATGTTAATTAATCACAATTAATTGTTTTAAGCCCTAAATGCCGTGAGAATAATGAAAATTTTTCCAAATATTTAACTAAGGCCGTGAGTTTTCCTAAGGAGATGATTTTCAACCAATCAAATTAAGCTACTTGTCAACCTTAGAAGGTGCTTAGTCATTTGATTAGAGCATGAGATTCTAGCAAATGTTGAAAGGAGAAGAAGGCCACGCCAAGGCCTTGTCATCACCCTCATAATTCGGCCATCTATATAAGCTTGGGAGGATTAAAAATTTTTCCCCACTTTTCCTATAGTAAGTTCAGCAGCATATTTTCCTTAAGCATACTTTTATATTCAGCAACTTAAACCAAGCAATTTTCCCCAAATTTCCATCACATTCGCACGGCAAGATAGACGCACGGCCATTCTTGGGCGCACACGAAACAATCATCGACCCAGCTTTCGTTTTTCCGTCGAGAGATTAGAGAGGTAATATTCCTTTCTTGTAGAACCATGGTAGTAAGTTTATTTTAAGGGTAATTGTTCGGAGGATTTTCAGAAATCCGTAAAGAAATCCATGTTGAACTGGGTTAAGGGCATGTTCGTTCTATACCGAATTAAGTTTAATTTTATCCAGCAAGTTATGAGCAATTCTGTTTCCTTCAGCTTCTAGTTATAGTATAATGTTCAGTTGAGTAAGATTAGTTGATAAAAGTTAGCGTTATATTCATGAATTGGCTCACGGTGGTGGGTTGCGCACCTCGCGCACGCCCACGGGCCATGAAGGGCTTGATGACCCCATCTTTCAGTATGGTCAAGTTACTCCGGACAATTTATAATTAAAAGATCATGTTATGTCAATTTATAGTTATTCAATTCATGTTGGTCGAGGTATTGTTCAGTTTGGTCGAGGAATTGACCGAAGGCCGTAGGCTTTGCACATAGCGAGCCTACCGCGGCCGTGTATTAAGTCCAACATTCAGGCTCAACAACTTCCTTATAAATTCAGTTCAATGATCATGTTAAGTCAGAAAAAGGGTTAAGAAGTCAGTTCGGT